TAATCATATTAGTAATTAATAAATTTCAATTAACTAACTATATATTTAATTTGTTTTAATAAAATTATACTTTATAATTCAATAAGCTATCATTACTTAAATTTAATTTAGCAATTTCATCATTTAATATTCTACTTGTATGGTATGCAAATGGATGTGATTTATAAATTTGTTGTGAATTACTATTATCATTACTATTCTTATTATTACTACTACTGCTACTACCACTATTATTATCACCACCACTGCCAATAACATTGCTATTTTCATTAAAACTTGCAGTCATAAAAATATTAACAGAAAGTTCCAAAGCTCTCCTGCAGTTGGCCTCTTGGTTGGATCCATGTCCCAACATCTTTGCATCATCTGTGCATAGTCATCAGGCATTCCTGGTAATATTGGTGGTCGTAAACCTTCACATATATCTACCATTAAGCAATTATTATGAGCTCTATTATCAAATGGTGGATGACCTGCAAATATTTTCCACATTAACATTCCAACACTATAAACATCTGATTCTTTTGTGTTCTTTTTTCCTTTAAATATCTCAGGTGCAATGTATGATACAATTCCATAAATTCTATTTGATCAACTGGTCCACATAATCCAAAAACTGCAGCATTTATCGGAGAGGGTATGAACAAAGGTGTTTAATTAATCCGTCAGGTTTATAATAACAATGCCAGCAATATCTGAATTATAATGAGATTGTTTCTACGAGAGAAATTCATTAGAATAGTTTAGATAATATAATATATTCTTAATCATATAAAAATTTTATCATTTTAAATATCTAATAAAAGCATCGAATATGACTGCATCGTTAAAAAAATAAATGTCTACTACAGTATTATGCATGCCTATTAATATCATTGGGCAACTAAATTAATTAACCGGTTATGCTCTAGTCCCCCTATTTTTTTCGCAATGACCAGACCCAAGGGAATTTTCGGAATGGAATTCATGTATTAAAAAAGTTTTATTTACAAAAATAATTGGTCTTTTTGAACTTTCACTTTCTGCCAAATACTGAAGGTTGAAATCATTCTCAAAAGCACCATAATGCCAAATTTCATCATTTAATTCATTTTCAGATGATATTTCAGATCCATCTTCTGAACCAGTTGTTATTTAAAAGCCTTAAATTGTTTCATCTAAAAGAGTTATTATCAACATTAAGATCTTAAAATTTTTTGTTTTTTTTTTTTTTTTTTTTTTTTTTTTTGTCTTTTTCTTTTTTTCTTTTTTTT